TGATGGTAAGTGGATTCTGTGGCCCATAGACATCTACATCTATCCTTAGTTAAGGATCAAAATGCGTTGCACCCCTGAGGACTAAGATGGAATGCCTCGTTTCCAGTAAAACGGATCTCTGGTTCTCTACACCCATCATACGAAACAAAGCAGCATTAAGCTGCTATTTTACGCTGGTAGTCTGTGAGAGAGTAGTCCTTCCTCGGTCGAGCCGCCTATTCTTGCTACAACTATAACATAGCTGTAGCGTGGATCTACAACATAAAAGCTTTGGGGAGGAAAAGGAAAAACTATGTTCAGGAGTGTTGTATGTAAGTACTTACGAAAGTTTATTGTATTAATTGTAATCATGATTTTGATGATATCTTATTTAATAAAATTATCATAATATATATAATATTAATAATATTTATTTCTCTATAGGAAGAATTCCACGATTACGTGACTTAAGTCAGCTTGAAGTGCTCCAGCTTGTGTTCAATTGCCATAAAAATATTTTCTACGGTACAAGGATGTTCTGAAACAAAAGTAATTTAAAAAAAACGTTTATAATAATACGTGTATTATTTATTAAATAAGTAATGACTAAAATACAAAGTGCCGTTTACATCTAGGTTTGAACGGTGACAACTAAGTGCAACTGATTGCAGTTGGTTGTATATAGGTTCATTGAATTCAAAAAAGCATTTGATGCGTAAGAATATCCTCTACCTCATATCATCCCGTCGTAAAAGGCGACAGAGGAAAACAAATTAGAAGATGGGCAGCTGCGTCTTCCTAATTACAACTGAAAATAAAAAAAAACGCTTACCAAGCGTTGCAACTGTGGCAACCTTATACGGCAGTAGACTTTAATAATCTGTAACGGTAACGGTAATGCTAAGTAACAGTAGCGCATTACTTTTTTTGTTCTCGACAAAAAATTCCAAGATGTCAGAGAAAGCAAAAATAAAATTAAGAACAAAATAATGAGTTATATGTTTTTGAAATGGTTTTCAATAGCTATGAATTCGCACGCTACACCGTGCTCTTGAAAATACAATTTCAGAAGAAAGTTACAAAATAGGAAACAGCCCGTCGTGTTGTTTCAGCGTGAATTGGGGAATTCACATTTCCTCAAAATATTTTTATTTCTCAGAAATGGTAAATTGGTTGCCTTTCGTCTACACATACATCATAAGACTGCCTTTTGTTTTCCCTTAATATTTGTTTACTTTTGTTATATTTATCTTTACTTGGTGTAAAATAAATAGTATTATATTGTGTATTTTTGTAAAATATTGTAAAACGTCGATCGATTACGGTATCCATGCGTAAAACCAAGCACTTACTGTCGGTTTTTGTATTTAAAATACTGGTAGTGTAATTAAAATTACAAAAATTGTAATAATGAACTTATTGAATAAAACTATTATTTACGGATTTTATCGCGTTTAATTACTTTAATTTATTTTTATTATTATCCCGACGTTTCGAGTGCTTTACAGCACCCATGTTCACGGGGGGGACTGAGATATTTGACGTCCCAATGTCATAGTTAGTCCGGCTACCTTCGAAGGTACCCGAAACTTCGGGATAATAATAAAAATAAATTAAAGTAATTAAACGCGATAAAATCCGTAAATAATAGTTTTGTTCAATGTGTAGTGTTCGCGTAAATTTAAGAAATCATTATAATGAACTTAACTAAAATAATAATTAAAATTATAATATTTACGATTAAAACTAATTATATACAATATAAAAAGAAGAAAGTATAATATAGAAAATCTAAAACTAAAAATTTAAATAGTCAAAAAGATCTGCTCCCCGTGGTATAATGCCAAGAACGCTGGCTGCGTTTCCTCGCTGAATAGCTATACTTAGCCTTTGAGCGAGGAAAGAACCAGCCCTCTTATCACCAGCAGCGACGACCAGTCGTGGATACAGTTCCTTTAGAAACTTCACTGCACGCGGACCCCCCGGACCTATAGTCTCTACAGCAAATGGCACAAATATGTAGTCATTTCTCAAAGACTCATATTTGCGCCATTTACAAAATTCGGCTGCCTTTGATGCCGCCCCGGCTCTAAAAGAGGTACCCTGGAGATGAGAGGCCGCCAAAGTGTCAACGCAAGTAGCATCCCACACTATGGCTTTACCTCTCTCCCAAGGGACCAAAGTCATACCGTCGAGTCTCCTGCCATCGTCTCTAAATATCCCGCAAGGCTCTAAAACCGAGGGGACATTTATGGAGACAAGAACCCTTCAGATGATTTCGTTCAAAGAACCGTGACGGGAAAACCTACCTGCACTTTTCTTAAATAAAGTCCGTGGAGCCCAAACTCATCGACGCTGCTACCACAGGGGCACTGGTGAGGTTGACAAATTGCCACTCCTAGCCGGATTCCTACTGCGATGCGCAAGCTTTCCCCATCAAGCAATGTGTCGAGATTACTTGATGGTAGAGCATGTAACCAGTAATTTTATTTATTAAATAAATTTTAATTATAAAATAAAAATAAAGATTACTAATGTTCCCTTTAACTCCAATGTAAGCTTGTGTGTGTGTGGTAAATGTGTTAGGGGTAGTTCATATAGTAGTCGAATCCATTCATGGCTTTTAAGTTTACGGTTCGTACCCTTAACCAATCGGCAACTGTCACTTATTATATGTATTTTAGAAAAGGTATTTTAAATAATGAATTTGAATGAGTTTGAAATTGTTACTAATATTCTCCCTTACACTAACTTAATTTACCTAAATTAATCCATTGGTCTTCATACCCGGCCTCCAATCGAGCCGAGCGTATAGCTTCCCGTAATGCATGAGTCACAACAGCTGCTAAACAAAGTGCTGGCTCACCAGTAGCTGTCAAAATAATTGCGGGTATTAGGTTTTGATAGAGCGTGAAAATTATTAATTTTTATATATTGTAAATGTTAATTAATATCACAACGATAATACAGAAATAATAATGAATAATTTGCAAATTTTTTTTACATTTGTTTCTTCATTTTTAGATCGATAAATTTAATAAAAGTTTGAAAAAAAAAAGGTTTCAAAGCTTTAAGATATTTTATGTCACGGGCTGATTTAAAATATGTGGTGTATTTTATAAAAGTACACATTAGACATGATTCTTTAGTCTTACAAGGAATTCCATCTTAGCCCACATAAGTGATAATTTAGCTTTTGATTTTTAATCGAGGATGTATGTAGGTGCCTATGGCCACAGCATGCACTTCGTTAGCTAGACCCAAAGTTCATTTTTCATAGAGTAAAACGACTTTAAGCAACATAGAAAATGAGTTACTTATATGTTATTCAGTTTACTTTTTTTTAAGGCATAACGTCGCACCTTTAGGACGAAAATGACGTAACTCAAAATAGCAACTTTTTGGGAAATAGCAACACAAGTTTTAAGATTTTGACACATCTGCATTCTTTCGTCTATTATTTCGTGATTATTTATGTCAGTAAGTATGTTTTTGCAACAAATTATAAAAAGGTTAATTAACTATTATTGTGTCATGAACAAACGTAATTATTAAAAGGAATAGAGTAGAAAAAAAGTATTTTGTTTTATCCGTCATTTTTCGACCGAGAAAAAAGTTTGAAGTTTGACGGTTTAGGAGATGCGTCTTTTATCGGCCGAAAATAATTTCTTATAAGTGACATTTTAAGAGTTACGCCTTTTTTTGTTTTTATAACTTTATGTAATTATTTTACGTTTTCCGAGGTCTAGGTCTATTATTTTCTTAATAAATTACTAATTATGGGATACCAAAATGGAAAATGCGTCAATGGGGGAGAAAAAAAACCTAAAGAAATAGGAGTTTTTTTTATTAATGGCAATGTTTGAATTGAAACAATTAAACGATGATGGTCGTTATAATTATGCTGACATAAGCCTTTAGGAGTAACGTTACATTAAATCAAAATCAACACTTATAATAACTAACAGAGATCTTAGTTTGTTAGGAACTCTTCTTCGTACTTAAACATAATACAAATCTGACATAAAAAAAGATAAATCGACACAAATAAACAGAGATCTTTTACCATTAGTATCTTTACTTTACTTAACATTTTTCTGTCTTTATAAATCAATAACATACAACTCTTAAAAATAAACCAATATCTTTGTTCATTAGGAACTTTCTTTAGTAATCGTGTCTTTAGTAACGTACGTAAACTCAAATCAAAGCAACTATGCAACAAAAAGTAAGTTCTACAATAATCTAATAGAATATTTAAAGACAACAAAATCTATCCTACATCAGTCAATTATCTTGATCATCTATTAACGATTTATAATAATCTATATAAAAAACCGGGTACTAATTTTTTCCGCAGCAATTCGCTTAGCCCTTTCCTTTTGTTTTCGCTTAATTTTATTTTATTTGTGTATGCTTTCGGTATTGAGACCTCGTCACGGTTAGGCATTCGTTTTCGTTTGTTTCTCATGTTCACACGCTTAAAATTATCTTGCGTGTAAGATGTTTTGTAAAAAAACATAAAAGGTTCGGCTTTCAAGAATCTTAAAACTTTTACATCGTTCCAAGACACCTGGTTGCGCTCATCGTCTTCATTAAAATTATAACCCCACTGATCTTGTAGGGATTTTAAATCAATGAAAAAGTCATAACTTAATTCCAAGACCGTAAAAGGCTTTCCAGACTTCTTGGCACTTTTTATCAGGGCAACATACTGATGAGAAGTGTAAATTCGACCAGAATGAAGGTTTTTTTTTCACTTCCTTTTCAATTAGACTGTGTACGTTGTCACCCTCGTTCTGTGTGTGTGTCCGCGAATAAGAAATTTGTGAGTTATACTCATTATATTTGGAAAGTTGGACACAATATACGAGTATAGACATACAATAAACCTGTTTTTATTTTGCCCACAGCAATTATCTGAACAGAAAATTATATTCAGTGGTTTATCAGGATATTTTTCACTGACATTTTTTAAATACTCAAATATGCACGATCCTATTTCGTTTTCCTTTTTTTCCTTATTTTTCATCCCAAAAGTAATTATAAACATCCCCATATGAGCCTACAGTTTCTTCTTCAATTCTATCTTCTCCCCTTCTTCCCTGATTCCCTTCAATTTCCTGTTCTTTATTTGTTTTCTTGTCGGATTTCTGAGCCAGCTCAGCCATAGTAAAATTTAGGCAGTTGAGTTTTGATATATAATAAAAAGAACTCGAGTCTCCTAAAGGGCCTTGCATGACTGCTTGCAAATCATATACGGTACATATATTTCCTTCACCAATGTTTCTGCGGTCGTTCTTCTTTTCAAGGCGACAAAGGTCTTTCTCTTTTAAATGGGTATCGAATTTTTCCTTCAGCTTTGCTTTGTGATCTACAGATGCCATTTCGTACTCCAAACACAGATCACATCTATCTTTTTTAGGCTGAAAGAATCCCAAGTTAAAATTGCTATTAAAAATTTGATTGTAAAGCCAGTAGTCTACTTTGGGTTTATTTGGATCTCTTGCTTCTGAGAAGTCTCTCCAAAGATCTTTTACGGTCCTGCCTCCTTCAATGAACTCTCTAGATGTGGAAGCCCTTAAGTAGTGTGATTCTACCCTTGGGATTGAATTTGTATGGTTTTCAATGTCTTTTATAATGGCATCGTCAATTGTCTTTCTATTAGTGTGTTTTCCTCTGCGATCTTCAGCTATGAATCCGTTTTTATTGGTTTTTTCTTTTGTAGTTCCTATCTGTCTTTCTGTTATATCTAAAGTGTTTATAAAAAACGTTTTGCAAACTCGAATTTTCCGATTATTAACAGTGAAGTAAAACGCACTATTTGGTGCTCTCGGCTTTTCAGCATTGGTGTATTTATATTTAGGCCTGACTTCCATCATGCAAAAACTGATAAAGGATCTTTTAAGCTCCATGCTTGCAAGGTTCCAATACGATTCAAAAATTTCAGATCTTTGGGCTTCATTAATTTGATTAGGACATTTTAATCGACATGGAGCGCATGGGTTTTTTATACAACGGGCTGGAACTTCTTTTCTAGATTTAGATAGGGAAATGTAAGATTTTCCAGTGTTGCGCAATGCCTTACTAATATTTGCTTCCAGGATGCGGGGTTACGCTGCCTTTTTCTTGATATTCTTTGAGTCGTGTTCGGTTCGTTTACGTTACTTGTCTCAGGTTGTTGTATCTCATGTTGGGGTGTTGTGACAGGTTGTGAAGTTGAGTCTGTCGAGGAAGAGGACAAGCTTCTAAGACGCGTTGAAATTTCGTTGGGGTCTTGAAATGTAGGGTCATTATCGCTTAAATCAGGATCACTTTCAGCAGCATTAATAGGTGATACACAATAATTTGATTTTAAAATAGCTCTACCACGAAGACTTCTTGTAGCTAATTGGCTGGTACTCGCACCATCCGCATTAATATGACAGGTAATCACGTTAGAGTTCACATTTTGTGCGTTGCTCGAAGAGCATGGACTAGAATTTGAGGAGCTGGAACTTGATGAACTTGAACGAGATGAACTTGAACTATTACAAGATGAAGAAGATACTCTTTTTTTCCTGAATAGGTCTCCTGGTGAGTATGTCTCGATTAAGAATTAACTCATTATCTGAAGTGTCAGTCCACTGCTGAAAAAAGAACCAAAGCGTCACGTTAGTTATTATTATAGATTATCTATTATAGGCAGGGTTTGGAGACATTTCTCATTTACCGTTTTTATATATTGGCTGAGGTTAAAAATGTCGTTGGTCGTAAACTGTGGGGAGTTTTCAATGAACGATGAGGATTTTGAAAATAAGTTCTCTATAGTATCACTGCACACTGAAGATTTCTGAAATCATAAAACAAACTATAGTTTTCTTTTGTTTATAAGATGGTTTTTCTAGAATGAAAATTGGATATAATATAATTACTTACAAGTTTACTCTCATAATTGACAGCAATATTGCCGCTGTTTGTCATTTTAATTAGTGATTCTTCTTCAGTAACTGCAGAATTCGGATTCATGTTCTCTTTTTGGTTTTTTCATTCTATCAGCCGATTCCTGGCGGAAGATAAAATGTTAGTAAAAATATCAGTATAAACTGACACACACTTTAACTATAGCTAAATATTTGAGAAGTTGAACTAAAGTAGGTACGGTCAACTGCAGCACATCAGTGGTAACACTTACACTTATTGTAACGGATTATAGGCACTTTAAACGTCAAACTGTTTGGTCGTCTGCACCAAACTAAACAAAAATTATTGCTTACCAAGTCAATCTGATTGATGTTAATAAGAAAATTGTTAATGTCAGGCATTTCTTTTGGTAAATTGTCAATCTCTGTGGAATTCAGAGCCAAATTCTCTTTCAATTTGTTGTCTGCCTGTTCCTGACGAAAGATAAACACCGCAATGGTTAAAAAAAAAACAATATGAAATTCACAATAAAAAGTGCACAGTATAAAATGTATTAAGGAACGTAGTTCATACCTCGTTTCGTTCATTTGCTTTGTAATATTTAACATTTTTTAATGCATTATCCATTATAATGTCCGTCCTCCTTTTCATTTTTTTATCTTTTTTAAGTGACTTTTTCTTTAAAAACTTGCTGGCTCCGTATTTGTGTAGTGACACATTAACCAATGCAACTTCCTTTTAATATATAAATAAATAAATAAATGGCATAATAATCAATGAGTCACAAACAATAATACTATGATAAATAAAAAAACGACTTTATTTCTAATAAGTCAAATTTAGTTCCAAAACATTCATCGGTATTTATTATTAACACGACACAAACTTAAATCCATTATTGGAATTCTATGTGTTTTTAATAATAAAATGCCACTAACCCGATTAAGTCACTAGTATTACCATAGAAATCGGAAGAAAACAATCGCAAGGCTAAATTGGTCGTTTCCATACTAAAAATCGAAAGAGAACTTACCAATAGTTTCGGAATGAAAACGACGTAATAGGCTTTGGGTCACTATCTGGCTGTCTGCGCGACGTCCTACACTTAGCGATGCGAACACAACACTGACTACGTCGTTTCCCCCCAACTCAGGCCCGCATGTCACCGCGTAATAAAGAGACCGATATAACAGTTTTGTCCTGTTCCCGCTCGAATATGGCTTTTGTTTGAACTATTGTTAGATTGAGTATTTCGTTTTGAGTCATTATATGACGATAACTCAATTTTCGTTTTTTTTTGAATTGTGTCGTTTTCGTCCTAAAGGTGCGACGTATCTTCAAGAGT